CAGATATATTAACTGACCAGCTGGAGAACTGGTCAGTTTACAGGCACTGCAAAGCTCAGACTCACTGGTCATGCTGGCTTTTGCAGCCCAGTACCCAGGATAAAGTCTACTTCCTACCATAACCATCACAGTTAAATAATAATTGTCAGAAATGAGACCATCCAGCCGTTCAAAACTTTCTCCCAAAATTTACGGACACAAACACCCATGAACATGCAAACACAGCAGGCACCAAACAGAAATCATGCCTACGAAGGCTCCAGGCAAATCTTACTATGGGGTTCACTTGTACTTAATGCAGAAAGAAGGGAGCACAAGAATGTCTTCCAGAGTGAGGCTAAAGGAAACCCATTCTACAAGAAGCTTGGTGAAGGTAACAGAACTACATGGATTACAAACCACATGCTACCTCCCCTTAGGGAGATAAGAACAGGGTATTTATTGGGTCATTTCTTAGATCTTTCTTCCCTCCATAATTTCTAGCATAACTTCTAGCAAATTATACTCCAACTTCAGAGTATAAAAAAAGTAAGAACTGGCTGGGTGTGGTGGTGCGTGCCTATAATCACAGCTACTCAGGAGGTTGAGGCAGGAGGATCCCAAGGTCAAAGTCAACTTGATCAACTTGGGCAATCCCATCTTTAAAAAAAAAAAAGAAAACAGGGCCTGGAAAGTAGCTCAGTGGTAGACCATGTGGCTAGCAACACATCAGAAGCCCTGGGTTTAATCCCCAGTATGATTAAGAAAAAAAAAAAAAAAAGAAGAACTGTTATATAGACTAAAATCAAAATATGAAAGGACCTTAGAAAAGATAAATTCTTTTCCCAAACAGAAAATTCATACTTAAAACTTCTTTCAAATTCAAGTGGAAAAATGTAGAAGGATTTTTAAATTTGTGGATGACTAATAAGGAGTCAAGTCTAGCACAGTAGCTGCTAATTCTGATTCAAGTCACCCTCTTGGGTAGGTGAGAGATGAATGATGCTTCAGGAACCCTGAAGAAATCCAAGTGTTTAAAACAACATTCCAAAGGGTGTTTCTGTCCTAGAGGCTAATAACCTCAATTATGCATGATCCCACTGTGTTCTGGGGCACAACTGAGATTGGAGGCCATGAAAATAAAATGTGACCCTCACACCCACTGTTAATATTGCTGGACATCAAGAGCTTGAACAACCCACTCAGCCCACAGACAAGAGACTGTATATTGGTTAAGCATCTCTAATCTCAAAATCTAAAATGTTCCAAAATCTGAAATGCTTTGAATACTGAAGTGATGCAAGAGGAAAATTCCACACCTTACCTCACATGAGGGGTTGCAGCCTAAGAGCAGACACACCGAAAATATTGTATGAAACTACCTTCAGGCATTGTGTATAAGGGGTACATGAAACACAAATGAATTTCATGGGGTCCCAGCCCCAAGATATCTCATTATGCATATGCCAATTTTCCCAAATCTGCAACATTCCTGTTCCAAGCATTTAGAAGAAAAGACACTCCACCTATACTGGTAAACAACACCCAACTTATTTCCAGGAGTGAGGTTCTTGTGGTGGCATGGGCCATCTGAACCACAAAAATACTAGACAGCATGAAATAGAAGCATAAATACACATGGAAGATACTCCACCTAGGCCTTCACCAGTGTACACAGTGAGGGCAGATCTAAAGAACTGGTCTCTGATCTTACCCTTTCTCCAGGAAAGCCTGGTGAGGGATGTGAAACTTCAGAATCTACCCCAAGGGTTGGGGCAGGACTGTACTCTCCCCTCTGTACCCTGAGGTAATTAGGTGTCCTGAGAGAGAGAGAGAGAGAATACACAGCGACGGGACCAAAACTCTTAGATTCTAAATAGCCCCCCTCATTTATTTCATAGTATGTTCCTTAGTCCACTTTTTCATTGCTGTGACTATAAGACCTGCCCAGAATAACTGAAGAAGAGGAAAAGTTTATTTGGGAGCTCAAGGTTCTAGAGGTCTCAGTCCATAGACAGCAGATTCCATTCCTCAGGTGCAAGAGTGTGGCAGAGGGAAGCAGCTCACATGATGATTAGGAAGCAGAGACACTCCACTCACCAGATACATATAGATACCCCAAAGTCATGTCCCTACCTCCTCTAGCCACACTCTAACTGCCTTCATTTACCACTCAAGACATCCCATCAGGGGATTAATTCACTGATTAGGTTAAAGCTCTCACAACCCAATCATTTCTCCACTTAAATCTTCTTGCATTGTCTCACTCATGAGCTTTTGGGGGACATCTCACATCCAAATCATAATATCATTAATGTAAAAAAAAAAAAAATCTGTTGAGTCAAACCTTTATTACTACTGCTGAGTGCAAGGACAGACATCTTATTTTCGAGCCACTGCTGGATTAGTGGATGGACTTAGATGTAACATTCTCTACTACCTGCCTCCTTGTCTCTGCCTAGGATTGCAGCCAGAACAATCAAGAATGCACATGGAACACCATAAAATAAGTGGTGCACTATTTTCTTCTAGCCTTCCTCAAACTACTACCTATCAGCATCCTGCTACATCTAACACAGAGGCAGAGATGGGTTTTCAAGCTATCCTGTGGACAACTCTGAGACAAAATTTACTCTTCTCAGAAATTGGCATAACACAGTTATTTAGGGACACATATTCATAACAACAACAATAAAACAAATCCAACTTATAGACAATTATTCCAAAAAGTGTCACTTCTTTCTCCTTCCTCAAATCAAAAGAGGGAAAGAAAAAAGAAACAAATGCAAATTGCCATTGGCAGAGTTTCACGTTGAAGGTGCACAGAAAGATTCAAGAGCAATTCAAGGTGTTTGTAGCCAAGGCCTGTTCATCAGCCCAGCAGGAGGTGCAACACCATCTGGTGCCCATGTCCAGCGGAAGATGTATTGCTCAGGATCAATTCTGAACAGCAAGCAAGTTTATTTTTACCCTTAGAAAATTTTATGCAGAAAACTACAAGGACATAAATGTCTGCGTTAGGCATGCCAGGGACATTTCACGAGACGGGAAAGTGGGATCCAAAAATGGGATCCAGCAGAAGCTGGCTTTCATCACAACTGATTAAACACTCTCTGTACACCCTGCAGGGCCCCAGTCAGGAAGTCTTACAGAAAGTCTTCCAGAAACCACAAGGACTAAGGCACGTAAGAGAGGAGCCTGTCCTAGAGTTCCCTGAAGCCAGAGTTGGAAGGGCTCCCTGTCATCAGGCTGGGACTCTGTAGAGGGCTCCTGGGGCATGTCCACCACAGCCCAGGTATAAGGCCAGCCCTGGTGGGAGATGAGAGTCCATTCCTGGGTGCTGGAAACCTCTGTAAGACTGTAAGACAGGCGCCTCTGCTGGGTTCTCCCTGGAGGACTGCTGTCTTGGAACCTCAGATACCCAGACAGCATCTTCTTTTTGCAAGTGAAGTTAGTGCCTTTTTTTTTTTTCCTCTGACAGAAACATAATACTTGTTCAATGCCAAAATTTGATAAATACTGGAAAAACACAAAGAGATTTTAGAAAGCAGTTATCATTCCACCTCCTGCAGCTATCAACTGGCAAGAGTTTAGTATGAACAATCTCTCTTCACAGATATGAAATAAGCATCTCCATATACACACACTATTTATCTCCATATATAGGAAAAGATGATGTGTGTGTTACACACAAACATGTCCTTTTGCAGTATATTATTTACACACATATATCACAAAAATATTGCACCTGATTTCTTGCAGCTGCTTTTATATATATGTTTTTTTTTTTTTTTTTTTTTTGGGGGGGGAGTACCAGGGATTGACCTCAAGGGTACTTAACCACTGAGCCACATCCCCAGCCCTCTTTTGTATTTTATTTAGAGACAGGGTCTCAGTGAGTTGCTCAGTGCCTCGCTATTGCTGAGGCTGGCTTTGAACTCACGATCCTCCTGCCTTGGCTTCCCAACAGCAGAGACTACAGGTGTGCACCACCACACCCAGCTCATAATACATTTTGAACACTTTTTCATGATAATATATTATGACCACAGTTGAAAATCTAAGGGGTACTCTATTGCACACACACATATCATGTTTTACTTAAATAACCCCACACTGCTAGTCATTTAGTTTCAGTTTTTCTATCTTATAAAAATGACACAATAAGCTGTATTCCAATTTTACCTTTTGTAACTTAACATATTTCCTTAGAATAAAAGAATACCCGATAAACAAGAATATTTTTAGGCTTCTGGAGTAATAACATTCCTACATTGCTTTCAGAAAAGTTGAACCACTTTAGATTCCCCAATAGCAAGATAAAAGAATACTTAGATACTTCACACTGTCACAGTGTCTGCAATCTACATTTTATTGTTAATTTAAAAAATTATTTCAAATCCGATATTAATAATTAGTACTGCTGAAAAATATATTAACTGTGCACCTACTGTGAACCAGGCATTATTGAGAGTGGCTTATGAGTTTAAAGTAGGACTATCTTCCTAACCCCATCATATGAATAGAGAAACTGAGATGTGATGAGGTGAGGTAATTTCTCCAGCTGGTAAATGGAGCTGCTGGGGTGTAGATCCAGGTCGTCTGATCCAAGAGTCCAGGCTCTTAATAAATGTGTCATACAACCACACAGCAAACCATCTACCTCAATGAAGGATGTCGGTATCAGATTAATGATGAGCAGAGGGATAGCTGGAAATACATCTGGCCAACCACACCTGAACCTTTATTTACATGCTCAGCATCACCATTTGTGGGGTGGTCCCTTAGGCAATGAACAACCTATAACAACAGTGTGCTCCTAACTTCCTGTCAGCTTACTCATCAGAAAGTAACCTGAGTTTATTATTACTCTGGCAAGGAACTATTTCCCACGTCAGACTAATCGCATAAAAAAGTGGATTTTTTCTCCACTTTCTTGTGTTAAAAAAAAAAAAAAAAAAATGATAGAATCCAGAAATTTCCCCAAAGAACTCCAAGTAAGGACCTGAATAGATACTTACACACCAAAGCTCACAGTAGCACTATCCGCCATATCCAAAAGGTGGGAGAAATCCAAGCGCACATCTAACGATGAGTGGGTAAATAGGATGCAGTAGGAGCCGGGCACGCTGGAGCACACCTGTGGTCCCAGCTACTTGGCAGGTTGAGGAGGGAGGATGGAGTGAGCCCAGGAGTTCGAGGGCAGCCTTGGTGACACAGTGAGGCCCTGTCTCAAAAAACAAACAGAAACCAAGATGCAGTGTTTACATACATAGGAATGTTATTCAAACTTAAAATGAAGAGAATTTCTGACACATTCTGCAACACAGATGAAGCTTGAAGAGGCTAGGCCAGGTGAAAGAAGCCAATCGAAAAGGACTCCACTTTGGGGCTGGGGATATAGCTCAGTTGGTAGACTGCTTGATTCACATGCACAAGGCCCTGGGTTCAATCCCCAGCACCACAAAAAAGAAAGAAAAAAGAGAAGGATTCCACTTACATGAGGGGCCTCGAGTCATCAAATTCACAGAAACCCAAAGTAGAATGACAGTGGCAGGGCTGAGGGGAGGGAGGATAAGAAACTGTGTGACGGGTATGGAGTTTAAGTGTAGGAAGAGGAAAAAGACCTGGAAGTGAACATGGTGACCGATGGTTGCGCAGCAATGTGAAAGGACTTAACACCACCATATATTCGAAAATGGTAAAGTTTATGTTACACATCTTACTACAACTTCACACACACACAAAGACTTAGAAGTGCATGCCTGTGCGTACACACACACACACACACACACAACTTCCTGCAAGCTTATGTATTAAGTTCAGGTACTTCAGCCTCTAAGGCCCTAACCAGATGTTCCTTCCCCCTTCTGGGTAATGCTAGACCACAGAAGTTGGGGATGGAGTGTTGTCAGGGAACGGGGACAACAATATCTTAAAATGAAAATGTCTCTAAAAATACTCAGTTTGTAATTGCAGGGGCCAAACTGTACTGTGAAATTCACCTAAGTGGGCAGCCTAGAGTAGCTCAGAAAGAAAAAGACTCTAAGATATGGACTACAGAAGCCACACTTGCTACAGACATCAAAGAATAGATGGAATCAAGAACTACTGAGTTTGCAGGGAGAAAAGATCTGACCCCAAGCCTGCAAGAGCACCTGATCTCAGGCCTTCAGTGGGCAAGACTGCAGGATGGAGGAAGCAGAGAGGTCGTCCGTCTATCCCCTAAGGCAGCATTCCATGTCATTCCAGATCTGGAATGCACTTACTGGGAAGGGCACCTCTGGGAGCCAGAAAGATAGCTATGGCCAGCTAGCAACTTCTTGTAATCATACGGCACGGCAAAGGAGTTTCAAAAACACATTTCAAAAGACTCGTGCTCAGAAATGCTGTCTTTTGGCTTATTTAATAGAAGGTCACTACAAAATCCCCCAAGACAGTTTAATTACCATGCAACTAAATAAAGTTGTTCTAAAGAAAGGAGAGCTAGGACCACTAAGGCTAATGACATGTTGCTACTGCCTAACACTGGGAAAGAGCAACAACACCAAGACCAGAAAAGAGCTGAGCCCCCTTCCCAGGCCACCATCTTGAATCTTGCTGTCTCACAAGTAACTCACATACTGTAGAGTAAGGAATTTAACTGGCTGGTTCCTGTGAGGAAGACTACATCATTGGAATTTCCTGAGTAACAGGAATGTCTTATCATGAGCCCCATGGATCAAACCTGAGTTTTCTCCTAAAAGATGAGCTCACTCAGGTGGGTGATGGTCACCAGAAAGACCAACCATGTAATCAGAGGGTAAGGGCTCTGAGTCACCCCGACTGGGAGACGAGGGGGGTCATCACCGGCCATATCACTATGCGCAATCACTCCTATATAATAACACCCAAGAAAGGCTTTGGACACCAAATCGGGGTTGCTTCTGGTCAGAGAACACATGGATATGACAGGAAGGTGACATACCCTAATCCCACAGGAACAGGGTTATTGAAACTCTCCCAGACCTCATCCTGTGTGTCCCTTCAATTGGCTAATCTTGACTTACACTATATCTATCTCTTACCAGGGATTGAATCCAGAAGCATTCTGCCACTGAGCCACACTCCCAGCCCATATATATATATATATATTTTTTTAAATAGTGTTTTTATTCCTTCTTTTTTTTTTTCTTTTCAACACAATGCCTTTATTTTTATGTGGTGCTGAGGATCAAACTCGGGTCCCGCCCGTGCTAGGCAAGCGCTCTACCACTGAGCCACAATCCCAGCCCCTGAAGTTGCTGAGGCTGGCTTTGAACTCGTGATCCTCCTGCCTTAGCCTCCCGAACCACTGAGATCACAGGCATACACCCCCGCACCCGGCTTGACTTACGTCCTTTAAAGATAAGTATAAGTAGAGTATTTTCTAAAGTCACTCTAGTGAATTATCCAACCCGAGGGGTCACAGGAAGCCCCAGACTTTAAGCCAGTCAGTCAGAAATGTGAACGGCCTGGGACCCAACTTGTAGCTGGCATTGGAAGGGGAGCCATTTGTTTGGGGACCATATCCTTTAACTCATAAGGTATAGACTAGCACAGCTGTACTGCATTATACCTGTGTGTATCAGAACATGTCTCTCCCATTTTCAGTCAATTCAAATGCTCCGCCCTCAGATCTTTCATCTGCTACAATGACGGCAACTGTTAACCACTAGACATCTTCTCCCACTTAATAACAGCTACAATGTTTGAGGTCTTGTTATCCCAGACAAAGTTCTAAGACCTTCTGCATGTATTTCCTCAATCCTCATGGAAACTTCATAAGATGGATACTATTATCATTCCTTTTTTATAGAGGAGAGCGCTGAGGCACAGAGAAGTTATGAGACTTTCCCAAAGCCACGTGGTAGAGGCAAAAGAAGCTCCTGTCTCCAAAGTGGTCCTACGACAGGCTGTGGCTGCTGGCTGCCCACCATCCCCATGTGCTCCCTCCTTCTAGCCTCACAGTGGCCACATGCCAATGTCCTTGGGGAAGAAGGTAAGCCTTCTGATGACAGAATTATCCTGCTTTGATTGCAGCTCAGGAAAACAAATTTCGAGAACACAGCACTAAAGATGGTTAACTATTTTTCTGAAAGTCTTTTCCAACAAAAACACAAATTAACAGCTGCATGGTGCTGAATGTAAATGAAAGTGACAAATTTCACTGCAGTAAATGAACAGGTGAAAGTTGTTCCTTATCATCACCATCATTCCCCTCATTGCAGGCTGAACCTCTCCTCAATTGACATAAATCTCCTCTCCCCTACTTTTTTCATTATTTAAACTCTAAATTGTTAAATATTCTCTCACTTTTATTAAAGTGATATCCTGGTTTGATGTTTTCAGTGTACTGAGAGTGCACCAATTAAAACCTCAGGCAGACATGGTGGTTTAAATTCTCTAATAAAATTATATAATGAGGACATCGCTTGGTCGTTCATCCATTTCATTCACTCATGAATGTTTTGAGTACCTATGACATTCAGAGCAACATCTTAGGCAGCTTGGGTACACAAATACATTTGAAAAGGTCTTCAGGGAAGAGAATCAAAGGAGAAAAGAGCAAACGTGCGTGTGTGTGTGTGTGTGTGTGTGTGTGTCAGAGAAAGAGAGATGAAGGGAGAGAGAGGGAGGGAGAGGGAGAATGAATGCAGGCATGTATGTGTGTAATTTCAGGAAGTCAATGATATTAAAACAGAGCAAGTAAAAATCTGAGAAAAACACAGGACAACATGTATGGCTGGAGTAAAATAAACCACGGGAAAGTCAGCAGCACATGAAGTCAGAGAGGGGTCAGCTCATTCTGAATGGAGGTAGACAGGCCTGCAACACCAACTTCCTTGCCTGGCCTGGGTCCATGCCATCTTGACCTTACAGTGGACAACTGTCCCACCTTCCTAACCAATCTCTCAGCTCCCATGCTTGTCCCTTTACAACCAAATCTTCATACAAGGTGAACAAAATTTAGAAAGCATAGCTCTAACCTCCTACTCAAAATCCTCTGAACATGTCCACCACAGTTTGCAAAGCTGGGATTTTATGCTCCCTGCCCAGCGACGCTCTCCTGGTGCCAAGACAGCTCACTCTCCAAGCTCATCTTCCTGCCCCCTTCCCTTGCCCACGTGGCCTGGGAGCCGAGTCAAATCTGCTCCTGCCTCAGGGTCCCCACACATGCCACCTCCTCCTCTTGGAGTTCTATCCATTCTGGATACTCCCTTGGCTCTCTGCTCAAACATCACCCCCCTCCCCAGACCACCAATCTAAAATGGTCCCCAAGGCAGTATCTCTATCCCTTGCCCTCACTGCTCTTCAGAGGTGTGTGCACCTGGCATGTGATTTACCCGTTTCTCCACTTTCTCTGTCTTTACTCACATCTATCCCCAGTGCCCAGAATAAGGCTGGGTACAGAGTTGGAATTCAATATATATATATATTGAATAATATATTATATATGTCAAATCCAAGAATGAGTGACTTCATTTGTGTTATCACGACGGGATTATGCTGAGTAGACCCGGGAGCTGCAATCTCGGGCACCCAGCTACCCGCACCACCTGCCCAGGGACACCACTTCTGGGTACAGTTTCTGTTGTAAGCTCAGAAGGCGATATCCAACATCTGACACAGCCAACTGCTCCAGCCAACTTACCCTCCTATTCTGAGCCTATCGGGACAAGAACACCCTACAAAATCATAACCACCCCAAAATTCACATCAAAAAGCTAACGCGCACTTCTTAGTGGATGAGTTCATCTATAAACTGTGAAGTAGAGTCACCATCTCAACTCCTGTTAGAAAGTGGGTGGACAGAATTTTGCAATAAGCAGGAATGTCTTTAGTGCCCGTTTCTCACAGAGACTCAAGCTCCATCTATAACAATTAACTGAGCTCCTTTCATGTGGTGACTTCAGGCTTGGCCCTAGGAACATGCTGACACCAACAGGCAGTCCCTGAGCTAGGCTATTCTTGCAGTCTAGTGGGAGGGACAACTGGACTTGTCATCTTTCAGTCTACTACTCATAAGCCTCAGTGCTTTGTCTTTTCAATACTGCTAAGGAATCAGTGTCTAAAAACTTTGGGCGTGTCATCTCAGCCCCTGAGATGGAATTCAGGCCTGGGTCAGAGGCAGAATCTTATGATTGATTGCAAAAGCAGCGAACTTGGCTGGGTTGGTCGTGTAG